ATATATATATATATATATAGGGTAATTTATATGTGGGGTAGATGGGGTGTATAGGCAGTATCTGTATGTTATAATGCATGCATATTTACATTCTTTTTAATATTTTATTTATTTATTTTATTTATTTATTTATTTATTTAATTTATTTATCTATTCTATTTATTTATTTATTTATTTATTTATTTATTTATTTATATATTTATAGATGTAATTGAGGGTGTAATACCTGTAAAGTATGATAGAGAATTTACTCCTCATGTATATTATTTGTTTAATTTAATTATTTAATTAATTTAATTAATTAATTAATTAATTTATTTATTTATTTATTTATTTATTTATTTATTTATTTATTTATTTATTTATTTATTTATAGGAGTAATTGAGGGTGTAGTACCTGTAAAGTATGATAGAGAATTTACTCCTCATGTGATGAGACAACCAACTAAATTACCTGATCAAAATACAAGTATGCATGCAACAAAAAAAAGCCCCAAATATAATTATGCATGCATGCATCTAATGCATGTATAAGTATGTGTATATGTGTGTCTACCTGCCTGCCTGCCTGCCTGCATGCATGCATGTGTATACAGGGACATTTCATGCTCATGGCGGGGGATTAATATCTAGGGAAGATGTAACAACAACAGAGACAACAGAGAGACCTATTCGTTTCCCTAGGAAAACTTATCTTGTTGTTTGTCGTAATCAGGCAGGATCCGCTAGGGCTAGAGTTACCTTCCAAGTAAGCAACAGCAGCAGCAGCAGCAGCAGCAGCAGCAGCAAGTGCAACAGCAGCAGCAGCAGCAGCAGCAGCAGCAGCAAGTGCAACAGCAGCAGCAGCAGCAGCAGCAAATCCAGCAACAAAAGCAACATATATAATATATGCAACAGCAGAAGCAACATATTCAATGACAATAGTACCACCAACAACAGCAACAGCTACAGTACTACTGCTAGTGCAGCAGCAACAGCAGCAACAGCAGCAGCAGCAGCAGCAGCAGAGTGTTGTGTGTGTCTCCTTGTGTCTCCTTGTGCTGCAGATACAGCCGAAGGCACCAGCAACTCGCGCACATCCAAAGAAAGAAGAAGAAGGAAGAAGAGACATAAGAAAGAGACAAACATTTAAGCTAGTAGAGAGGGAATAAATAAATAAATATAAATATAAATAAATAAATATAAATAAATAAATATAAATAAATAAATATAAATATAATAAATGTAATAACTTTTGTTAAGGAGACAAAAGGAGACAAAAGAGACAAAAAAAAATAATTTTGTCTCCTTTTGTTTGCCCTTTTGTTTATTATATAAGGGAATAATTACCGCCATTGGCTAGCTACTTAGCTAGCTGGCTAGCCAGTTAGCTAGCCAGCTAGCTAGCTGCCATCCAGTACTGTCTACTGGGACAGCTAGCTCGCCTCTAGCTGTCCCCCAGCTAGCTAAACAGCTAGCCATCTAGCTAGCTACCTAACTAGCCAGCTAGCCAGCTATAGGGGGGCTGGCCGTTGGCTAGCTAGCTAGCTAGCTAGCTAGGGCTAAGACTGTAAGCTAGCTATAACAGCAGCATACACTACTGCAGCCCCAACAGCAACGCATGCATTGCTGCATGCATTACAGTTGGGGCCCCACAATTAATTAATATTAAGACTTTTGCTGCTTTTGTTTCTTTTTCTTTCCTTTTTGTTGGCTATTTCTTTCTTTTCTTCTTCTTTGCATGCATTTTTTTCTTATAGGTAACCACACAGAATAGCATAAACCCTTTCTTCCCTTTTATTCCCTTTTTTGCCATAAACTGCCATAATAGCAATGGTCTAGGGTTTAGGGTTTAGGGCTTGCAAGCTAGGGTTTAGGGTTTGCGGGCTAGGTAGGGTTTATAGTTTGCGGGCTCGGTAGAGTTTAGGGTTTGCGGGCTAGGGTTTAGAGCTCGCGGGCTAGGGTTTAGGGTTTGCTTGCTCAATAGGGTTTAGAGATCTCGCGAGCTAGGGTTTAGGGTTTATGATCTATTTTTGTTGAGGGGTGCATATATCATTATACAATGTTATAAAACCCTAATTAATTAATATAAATAAAATAAAGAACTTTTGCAGTGTATTTACAAGAAAATTATTTCTTGTTGTATAGGTCGTCATAGTTCGAGTGTATAGGCAGCTCAGCGGTGTATTTATCTATGATCATCAATGATGATTACGGTAAATGACGGGTTATTGACGACTAAATTGTTTGTTTTTTTAATTTTAATTAAATAATATTATTTAATTGTTATTTATTATGTCAATAACGAGGAAAAAAGGGAAAAAGAGGAAGATTTAGACACAAATAGCTGTTGAGTACAGATCCCCCTTCCTCCCGATGGTCCTATAGATCCTTCTATAAGAACAATCAATAAATAAGTTAATAGTCTCCCTATATATTATTTATTTATTATTTATTTATATTTAAATAAATAATTTAATTAAAAAGAATAAATTTAAATGGTATTTAATGCCCTTTTTGCCGGTGCATCACGCCGTGGATTTCAGGTGTATCTGCAGCTGTCCATTGGCAGTTCAGCTGTATATGCAGGTACATAGCTTTCTTTCCTTTCTTTTTCTTGTTATTTATTGACATATTTATAATTATATTAACTCATTTAACTCATTTTTATTGCTTATTCTTTTTTTACTCCCTCCCCTTCTCCTGTGTGCGCAGCGCAGCTACAGGGGCTGTGGGACAGCTAGATCTGTGGGGCCTACGCCCTAAGGGGATCCTCCATCGCTCCCCGATCCGGGATCGTCTTTGTAGGGTCGATCCCCGCCTCCTGCATGGATTTTTTGTCTCCTATCTAGAACGCCCTTCACTGTATATACTGCAGCAGCTGCAGCAGCTGCAGCAGCAGCAGCAGCAGCAGCAGCACGACTCTAGGGGTCTAAACAGCAGCAGCAGAAGGCGGCATAAGTCATGACAATTCCTTACTGTCTATAAGAAGAAGAAATAATTTATTTTTATTGTTTGCTGCTTGCTGCAGCTGTCTCCTTTGTCTCCTCCTTGCGGTGTATAGACAGCTCACCGCTACGGTGGCATCGTACCAGCAATATACCTCTTATATACACACAACGAGCAGCAGCAGCAGCAACAGCAGCAGCAGCAGCAATAGCTGCATAAACCTGAATAACCATGGAATCCCTACGTATATTTCTTCTTGTTGCTGCTGCTGCATCCGTTTGCATGCAGCAGCTGCCTGCAGCAGAATGTTTAAGTCGGGTGTCTCGTGAGTCAGCTATACAGTCTGTAGATCATTTTGCTGCTGCTGCTGCTCCTCCTGCTGCTGCTGATGCTGCTGCTCTTGCTGCTGCAGCAGAAGAAGCAGATGTCTCCAAAAGACAGAAAACACACAGGAAGAAGATAACATTCAGCAGCAACAGCAGCAGCAGCAGCAGCTCGTTGCTGCAGCAGCAGCAGGGTATAACAGCTGCAGCAGCAGCAGCAGCAACAGCAGCAGCATTACCAACAAACCCTGAAGGAAAGGAGAAGAAAAAAGATCCTTTCTTATTCTTTGATGATGATGATGATGAGGAGGAGGAGGAAGAAGAAGAAGAAGAAAAAGAGGAAGAAAAAGAAGAAGAAAAAGAAGAAGAAGAAAAAGAAGAAGAAGAAAAAGAAGAAGAAGAAAAAGAAGAGGAAGAAGAAGAGGAAGAAGAAGGAGACAAAGAAAAGGAGACAGAAGATAATGATGAAGATCTAGATGACGATGTTTTCTTCAAACTTAAATTCAGCAGCAGCAGCAGCAGCAGCAGCGACGACAGCAGCAGCAGCAGCAGCAGCAGCAGCAGTTCAGCAAGCAAGGGCAGTCACGATAAATTAGCAAAAAAAAGAGAAGAAGCAGCAAAAAGATTAAAAGATGTAGGTGCCTATACACCCCAATATAAAAAGGAGACACCTAAGGAGACACTTGGAGACAGTTGCCTAGTAGTACAATGCTAAATAAATAAATAAATAAATAAATAAATAAATAAATAAATAAATAAATAAATATAAACACTAAGTAGTTAAGAAAACTCAAGAAAAAAATAAACAAATAAATAAAACAAAACTACAAAATGAATAAGTAAACCCTAAACCCTAAACCCTAAACCCTAAACCCTAAACCCTAATGTTATAAAAAAGTGTCTCCTTTTTCTATTTGCTGTTACCTTCTGTTAGCCGCCCCGAAATGCCATCCATTGACTCATTGGGAGAAGACGATTGTAAACCCTAAACCCTAAACCCTAAACCCTAAACCCTAATTCTCCCGCTAAACCCTAAACCCTAAATCCTAAGCCCTAATTTTCTCTAGACCCTAATTCTGCCTCTAAGTCCTAATTCTGCACTGTAAACCCTAATTATTCACTGTAAACCCTAATATATATGTTGGGGCTTTTTTATGCATGCATGAATGTATGTATGCATGCAGCCTGGTATAGAAAGAAGAAAGAGTATAATATAGATGATGATTCAATGAAGAGAATCCCTTTCTCTATTCATAAAGAAGAAGATATTTATTCACAAGCTACTGATACTATACCAGGAATAGGTACACCTTAAAAAAAAAGGGTTTAGGGTTTAGGGTTTAGGGTTTAGGGTTTAGGGTTTATGTCCATACATATACATATATACATCTATATATACAGGTTACCTGTCTCCTCCCCCCTCAACCCCCCTATACCCACTAAATAAGCATATACATACATACATACATACATACATACATACATACATACATACATACATACATACATACATACATACATACATACATACATAC